CACCATCGCATCGGTATCATCTTCATTACCATATACAAAGTCATCAGCATTATTATCAGCAGCATCATCATCGCTATCAGCATCAGCAGTACCATCAATCTCATCACCACGATCAACATCATTGGAATCGTCATCGTCCTTGTCATCGTCTCCCTCCCTCTCACTCCCTTCCTCCCCCCTCCTCACCCTCCTGTCCGTCGTCCTCCTCGTCCCCTCCACACGGGTCCATGAGCTTCTCTGGCTTGTACTTGGCGTACAGTACGCCGAGCTCCGTGTACATCCCCATGTGCGCGCGCTCGTGGCTGAGGCCTGCGGGAGGGGGGCGGGGACTCAGACAGCCTCCAGCTGGCCACGGGGGCACGAAGAGAGCAGAGGAGCGCAGAGGACGGGGAGGACGGAGGAGAGCAGATGCAGAGCGCGAAGAAGGGGGCAAAGCCGAGGGGGTAGTAGACTTTTTTGGTCGGCGGGGCGAGAGCGAACCTCTTCCGCTAAAAGTTAGGCAGGCTACGCGCAGCTTTAATTAGGGAGACAGGGCGCAGGAAGGCGGGGCCTCAGGCGGCCGGAGCAGGTGGAGCCCGGGGTGCAGGCGGTGCCGAAGAGCTTGCACAGGAGAAGGTACGCCGTGGACGGGGCCGGGGGCGGAGACCCGGAAGGCGGTAAAAGTGGTGTAGCCGTCAGCGGCGCGTCGCGAACAACAGCCCGGGGGTAGTAGACAGGAGGAGAGGGATGGACAAAACAGAGGGCGACGGAGGAGCAGGGGGAAGGGAAAAGAAGAGCCAGGCCACGAGGAAAAGGGAGGATCCTAGATCACCCAAGAAACCGCCACCATCACGCTGGAATACCCGAGTCCCACGTGCTAAACGCTTGCAACAAGTACACACGGACGGAGGGCGAGTCGTGTTCACGCCCTACGGCAATATGGCAAGATCTTTGAGCCTGTGCGACGCACACACGGATGGAAGGCCGAACCTTGGCAAAACGGAGCTGTCACTGGACACGTCCTTGAGCTGTACAACCCTACAAAATTCCATGCAGTGCAGCTTGAGAGGGAACGAGAGGGCCCTTCGCAAAACGAGGCATCGTGTGAAAGGCAGGCCATCGTGACGTTCATCTATCAAGAAGGTACTTCCCGCACACCTGCAGACTACAAGGAGGGGACTTGGAACGGGATGGTGAGCTGCAGCACCGCTGATGCATATAAGGTTTACCCTGATCCTCCTCTGCCTCAGCCTCCGCCTCCGCCTCCCCCTCCTCCTCCTCCACCACCTCCTCCGCCACCTCCTCCTCCTGCTCCTCCTCCACCCTCCCTCGTCCTTCCCCTCCCCATCCTTCCTTTCCCCCTCATCACCATCATCATCACCATCAGTATCGTCCTCCTCCTTCCTTCCGTCCTTTCTTGTTAGCTCCCCGGCGAGCGCGCTGGGCCTGCATCCAGCAGCGAAATGAGCTGCTCGGAGTACCCCAATCTCTCGTAGTGGGCCGTGAGCTCCTGCGGGCAGGACGGCAACCAGCGGGTTCCCCACGCCTCTCCCCACCTCTTCTCTCCATCTCCTCCTCTCCCCATCTCCTCTCACCCCCTGCCATCTCCATGCCTGACTGCCCCTCCATCCTCCCCCCCCCTGACCCTTCCATCTGGCCGGGCTAACGCCGCCACCAGTCGTGAAGAAACTCCAGTGGTGCATTTCTGCCGCTGCACGCTCCCGGGGTGCCATGATCGTCCCTTGTGCTGGGGCTTCGCCGCGAGCTCCTGGGGGTGCCGTGAATGGTCCCCCGGGCTGTGGCTTCGCCGTCAGCTGCTTGATGATAGGTGACCTCTGTATGTCGCATCTTCCGAGTCCAGGGCGGGTGTCCTCCCCGTGGCGTGCAAGTTTGTTTTGGTCTCGCTCGCCCTCTCTCTCTCTCTCTCTCTCTCTCTCTCTCTCTCCCTCTCCCTCTCTCTCTCTCCGTGTATTTGTTTGTTGTTATTTTTCTTTCTCTCTCTCTCTCTCTCTCTCTGAAACCGAACTGCGTCGACTTGGCCCCGCCTTCCGGGACAAAACCTCGCCCCCTGGGCGACGAAACCATCCCCTGGTCCACCGCCGCTGACCCAGGCGGCCACGCAGCGGCTGGCAGGCGGCGATGCTGCAAGAAGCAGCGCAGGAGGATGCTGGCGGCAGGCAGGCGCGCTGGACACGTCACGAGGATGAGGCGGCGCGCGGGGTTCGCCACGGAGGCGAAGAGGCTCTGGAGCACGGGGGCAGCCCCTCAGGCCACTTAGTGCGGGATGACGATTACTAATAAAATGTGAGAAAACGATTTTAAAACACTGATTTCTGCTATTTCTGCATAATTCTATGACTGGAGGAAACCGATTCAAAAAATAGTTTTCCAGCCCGCGGCCGTTTTTTTCTAATCGTCATCCCGGGCGCCGCCGCGTGAACACGACCCCCGGTCATTTATTATAATCGTCATCCTCCATTACGGCCAGCAGCTCCACGGCCTGGCGCCGACGAGCGTCAGGAAGCTGCGGCAGCAGGTGTGTCGACCCTCCTGGCGCCAACGAGCGCCAGGAGGGTCGGCGATCATGTCGGCCTTCAATTCCTGGGCCACTTGTTCCTGTCGTGATTGTTGCCGAAGAGGAGCGCAAATCTCGTACTTGCTGACTGGTGCTCGCTGGCATTCCAGAGGCGGGAAGTCCCAGATCGGGCTTTTTGAACGCAACAGGTGTTTGCCGCCATCGTGGTATCCCTTGCAACGGCGAACGGCAATAATTGCAGCGGCAGGGACCACGTCCTCGGTCATGATGGCACCCTGCGCCCCAAGCCAAAATCTGCATCCAGATTGTGTGGTAATTTTCATGCCAATCACGATCCCCACCTCGTTTTTGTGGTGGTTGAATTTGTACGGGGTGACAAATGTGTGAGGATTAGGCTGTGCATTCTTTACATACGTGCTTGAACTGTAGAATGCCTCGGAACGCTGCGATCCCTGTTGCTTTCTGTCTCTCTGAGACGGATCTCTGTAGCCGGGAACGATTCCCGTTTTCACAATGCTGCTCCAGGCACGGGACGTCGTGCCGTGGTGAAGGTATTTACGTCGGTCCATTGTAAACTCCCCCAGCCAATATCCCATGGCTTGAAGCGTGGGTTGATCGAGCTGTGTCCTCCTCCGCAACGAATAGCAATGACGCTGCTCCAATCGAAACAGCTGGGATTGCTCCCTGCAGGAACTGGTTTAGCATAGATCTCGATCCTGTTCTTCTCTCGGTCAATGTGCATCTGGAACGCACGAAGGATAAAGATCGGGTAATATTCCGTCCAGCTTTCGTATCCAGCTGGAAGACCGCCTTTGTCGAAATGCTCCATGGCCGCCACTGTGGATGGTCCGTTGCTCTGATCACGACGGTCGCGGAATTTCCACTCCACCATTTCCTCGCAGGATTTCCAAAGGCTGGGAATTTCCAGCGAAGATGCATGTATGCGTCTCTGCCATATGTTGATCCTTCGATCGGTGAACTGATCGATGCTGAAGTGTTCAGTGTAATTGATATGGCGAAACATGATCGTAATATATTTGCTCATGTTTGAGGGTTACCAAGATTTTCTATCGTTATTAAGTTGGGACCGCCAGGTGTCTCCGCGCATGGTGGGAGAGAAATCCATTTCCATTCTGGGAAGCAGCCAGAGTGGTCAATATCTGGGGCGTGGGTGATCACACAGTCGTCATAGTCCAACTGAGCTGCCCAATCGTTGTCAGTGAGACACTGCACGCCTCCGGGCGCGGTCGCGCCCCGAAGCGGGGGGGGCGCGCAGTAGTGATTATCAGGGTACTGCGCGCGCAGCTTAAACTCACGAGGCGTGCATGCGTTGTCAAACGTAGAGAACTGACTCGGTTCTTCATGGCAAGATCGCTCGCAGCAGTCCTGCCATGGAAGCACGCGCATTTTATCAAATTGCTGAGCGAACGCGGGAACGTTGTCAGCTGGAGTTGGGTCCGGCACCGGAGCCATGTCAGCATCCTCTGGGGGGAAAGTATGCGTTCCCGTGTCTGGGCGCGCGGCTGGCATGGCCTTCGGCGTCGGGCTGGACGACGGCGGCCCATTCGCACTGGGCGGAGGTGCCGGTGTCCTCGCGGGTTCGGCTGCAGATGATTCTGCAGCGGGCCTCGCGGCCGGCGCTGGCTCCTTCACAGAACGAACGCTTGGCGGCTCAGGCGGGACCTCGATGAGATCCACGGCGGTCGCGTTGTGCCACCCTTTGCACGCCTGGATGGTCTCCGCATTGTCCAGGCGAGGTCCGATACGATGAGAGTTCAGCAGAGCACGCTCATGCACGACTTCACTGGCCTCGGCTTTGTCCTCAATCTTGTCTACGAGCTGTTCGCATGCCACCCAGGTGAGGGCATGTGCATCATTGGAGTAAAGTTTTCATGTGATAGCAGTGTCTTTCTTTCAGCTGAATCGTAGGATGCCCAAATGCCCGGGCACGCCTCAATCAAGGAGAGTAGCTTGTGGTACAGCTCCTCGTATGCCGGACGGTATGGGTCATCATATTTGTGCTCTGGTGCTGTTGACGCTGATGGCGGCTCGCCTGTAGTCCCTGGGATGGGACATTGTTGCTGAACGCGCTCGCCAGCAGGCGTCGCCACCGGCATGGATTGCGGCAAAGTGCCGCCGGCACAAGAGGCCATCCAAGCGCAGTGGGCCATCTCTCCGGCAGCTTGATTCATCAACGTTGTGAGGCTGAGGTGCCTCTTCCACTCATCCGTCATCTTCTCGCGGAACGTGAGAGCCGCTGAGATCTCCTTGGCCTGGGCGTAGGCCTGAGAATCCGTCGCAGCCCTCAGTAGTGAAGGCTGAAACGGGTATGGCTGAGAGGGTAACGATTGAACCACTGCACAGAAATTGCGGCAGCATACAGCATCGCTGAATTGAGTCGTCATCATTGCCATCGTATGGTTGTTCATTTTGGCATGCCACGCCGTGGGCGTGAACCTGTCGTAGGTCTCGGCCCATTGATCTGAAGGAAGAACGGCAATGCCTCTGGCTTGCATGTGACGGGTGAGGTCAGCTGTATGAAAATCGAAGTTGGGGTGCACTCCCCATTGTTTAGCCTTGCCTGGTCCCATGACGGTGGGGCAACGGAAGTATTGCATCACGTCGGTGAAACGTGACACATCGACCTTCACGTGCAAAGGCATGCTCTCAGGAACGCCGTCCTCACACTTGATGTGTGTGTGTGTGCGTGTGTGTGTGTGTGTGTGCGTGTGCGTGCGTGCGTGCGTGTGTGTGTGTGCGTGTGTGCGTGTGTGCGTGTGTGCGTGTGTGCGTGTGTGCGTGTGCGTGCGTGCGTGCGTGCGTGCGTGCGTGCGTGCGTGCGTGTGTGTGTGTGTGTGTTTGTGTGTGTGTGGGTGTGTGGGTGTGTGGGTGTGTGTGTGTGTGCGTGTGCGTGTGCGTGTGCGTGCGTGCGTGCGTGCGTGCGTGCGTGCGTGCGTGCGAGCGAGCGAGCGTGCGTGCGTGCGTGCGTGCGTGCGTGCGTGCGTGCGTGCGTGCGTGTGTGCGCGTGCGTGTGCGTGTGTGCGCGTGTGTGTGTGTGTGCGTGTGTGTGTGTGTTTTCGCGGCGGCCGTTGGTGGGGGCACGATCGTTATGGCGCCGTGTGTCCAACCACTGTTGGGTGTGGGTGGCGCAACCAATATCGCTTGCACTCCAAACGACGAAAGCATTGAGGCCTCTGCAGTAGTGCCGTTGTTTTACATAGGCAGGGAAGCCTGTTGCCCAGTATTCCCCAATGTGCTCATTTCTTTTGCGCCATTCCGCCACCGAAGAGTTGTCGCTGCAATGCATCAAGGCTCGCGCCTTACGGGTGTTATTAATCATGTTGCGCTGGTCGACCGTGCCTTCGGTCTGTAACTTTAGGATGGCTGCGATACGGTCTTCTTGCGCCTGAGCTGCCTGCACCCGAAGTGTTGCCATATCGCAGCGGGCATCGCCACCGGCTGCTGGCAATAAAATCAGATCCTGGCCGACAGCTGCGTCGTTCCGCAAGAAGAATTCTCTGTAATTCTCGTGCGAGAACGCCCACATCATGATGTCGTCGCGGATCAAGATTGCCAAATGCTCGAGGGTGGCGCCGCCCCAGTATTCTGCCTTGTTGAGGTATGGCATAAAGAGCGGCACGAGACCAACATCGGATGCTTTTGCGAGCTCATCGCGTCGGGTCGGGCTGTTGACCTCATCGATGCCATACCCCGGGTATGTCTTGTGGTCCCCGCCCTTTGCACCTTTCTTTTTCTGCATAAGCCATGTAGAGCCCGTGCATAGATTAGTCCATTTGTACGCATGGCCTCAAGGGCCAAAGGCATGAATGAGGAGTATTCCCAAGTCCTCTTGCACCATGCCCATCCATCCTCGCTCTGAGAGAATGGCTCTCACCAGTCGACCACCACAGAACGCGCTGCATGTTGCCTGGGGTAAGTCCAGCGAATCCAGCATGGATCCGGGAGTGGCGCCAGGGTCTTCGGCATCTGGGTACTCACCAGGGTTCACGCTGCCCTCTTCGTAGGGCTGCCATCCCTGGTTGTCGAGATACGAAAGAGGTGTCCAGCCGTCAGGGTGATCGGAAGGCGTTGCCACCGCCTGGGGTTTCGAACCGACCCCCTCCAAAACCCCCGCGACTTGTCAACCACGTGATGAGCTTTCGGGTGAATTTCCTGGGTTGGTTGAGGTCGTGGAAGGCCCGCATCTCGGCGACAAGATGATCCTCGACAATGTGGCCGATATGTCCTGCCACATCGGACGTCCTGGCCAGGGCAGAAAGCCGCACTGGGCACTGGTAGATTGATCTGCTCTCGGTCAAGAGGATGTGCATGACTTGGAGTAGGCAGTCCCTCGGCATATATGCCTGGCGGCATGCAGTAGCCGTCCTTGTACAGCTCGATCGTCTCGTTGACCGTAGCTTGTGACCATTGTCCAAGCATAGCGCATCCCACCTTTGACCAATCATTATGTAGCATCTTCCACTCTACGTCCAGCGCATGAGTGGCGAGGTCCGTCGGAGGACACTTGCGATGTCCACCAGGAGTTGTT